TGGGGTGTGGGGGTGCCAGAGTCAGGGCTGGGGTCGTGGGGGGGGTGAAGGAGTCAAGCAGAGGGTTGGGTGTGTGTGAGGGGGGTACAGGGCTCAGGGCAGGGGTCTGGGGGATGTGCGGGGCACAGGGCTCAGGGCATGGGCCTGGGGGTGTGTGCGGGGCTGCAGGGCTCAGGGCTGGGTGTGTGTGGGGGGGGCTCAGGGCAGAGGGCTGGGGGTGTGGGCTGGGGTCGTGGGGTGCTCACGGCAGGGGGCTGGAGAGGATCTGCCCCTATTCCACCACCCCTCTTCCCCAAGGCCCTGCCCCCGCTTCTTCTCTGCCTCCGTCCAGAGCAGCGAGCAAGCTGACTCCACTCCTTCCCCAACCCCTCCCTTGCAAGGGCCATCAGCTGATTGGCTGGCAGGGACGGAGGGGATGGAGAGGAGGAGGAGGGGCAGGAACCCAGCACACTGCAGGAAGAGGCAGGGGAGCTGGCAGGACCAAGCTTCTACCCCCTGCCCCTTGCCCCCGTGGGAGGGGGCGGGGGGTGCGGAGGGCAGAGAAGAGCGGGCCGGGCCGGGCCGGATTTTTAATGGCACGCTGCTGCCTGCCGGGACTCCAGCAGGCAGCAGCGTGCCATTAAAAATCGGCTCGCGTGCCGTCTTTGCACGTGTACCATAGGTTGCCAACCCCTGATCTAGCCTGTCTGACTCATGAAAGACACCCCCCACTCCCCCAGACTCTGCTTGAACCAAAACCGATCAGAGAAAAGGCTTACAGAGAGCAGTGAAGGGCGTTGGGAGACACACTAGACCCCTCCTGACAAGGGTGACAAGATTAAGACATCTCTATTTGCATACAGAATGGAGAGCAGAGACAACTCTCCTAGCCTCATCTGCATGAAAGATGGGACAGGGATTAGCATACAGAATGAAGAACAGAGAACCACACTTAACTCTGGGACCAGAAAAAGCAGGGAAGCACTGCATCATGGGAATCTCTGCTCCAGATGTTAATGAACATACGCCTGCCCACACCCAGCTCAGCAGTTATCAGACCAATTCTAGTAATGAATCCTTGATTGATATCCAAAATACTGAAGCAACCTAGTTGCATTGTGAGCTCCCTGGAAAAAACCACCACCCATAGCCAAGAGTGATCAGCTCCTATTGTCTAGCCTAAAGAAAACCCTTGAGTCATCGGTTTACCCTAAACAAATCTAGTGTTCTCCCTTGAACCATTGTTGTTTCTCTACAAAAACCCCTACCTATGTTCAAGTAAGTGTTCTGATGCATAGACCCCAAACTCTGCATCAGTTCCGCTGGGACTCCATCTCCTGACTGATCATGCTGGGGGCTCTGCCTGTCTCCAGAACTCAGGACCCTGAGCTACCACCATCACCTGGGTACCCCAACCAGTTCAAGCTTCAAGGAGCGGTGAGATCCTCTTCTTTCCTCGCTGTTTTCCTTTCTACCTTAGGTATTAACCTTTAATAATGTATGTTATGTTGGTTTAGGCTCTCTTTGTGTAGTTATCACTATTATTCAATAAATAACTTTTAGGGTTAAGCTGGTTGCTTCTCTCTCTCTTGCTGAACTTTACTCTTTTGTGTTTTTAGCTTCCCCCATTTACTCTGCAGCAACGCTTCTTTTACCTAAGCTAAAGATCCCTGCAGTGCCCAAAATACTGTGGGGTTTGCTCATCAAGTAGGTTACTACCAGTACAATTGTGATGTGAGAGTGGGGATAGGGACGTGCTGAATCTGGGACACATAAGGGTGGCAGCTTGAAAGTGCTGCTTGACCCGGTCCGCTCAGACTTGCTCTGTTAATGTATGTGTGTGTATGTGTGTTCATCCGGTTCTGGGGCTGGAGGAACCCAGCCCTAGGGAACGTAGGTCCTGCAGGATAGCTCCATTGGGAGGGGACTTGCAGAAGGGAGAAGTAGAGCTCCATATGAAAACACAAGTGACACAAGCAGTACATTGATAGAATTACAGAACCCCGTCCCCGAATAAATGAACATACCCCAAAGTAACGGGCAAACCTGGTAACATATGGTTGATACCTTAAACAGCCCTTTACCTACCCAAAATACTAGTTGCCAACAATTAAGTGCTGAAGATGTGAGTTGTGCTGCATTGGTCCCCATCATTACAACTACAGCATTACTGACAACTAGAGTTAAGGTGGCCAAAGCGTTTCCACTATAATCCCAGTTTTATGCAAATTCTTGCATTTCCTGACTTTTGCATGCTTAACTCTGCAGCCTTCATATTCTCAGACAGAAGTGTTTTGATGAAGTATGTTACATATACAAAATAATGAGACTAAGGAAGATCTAAAAGCACTCCAAGTTTCCTCCTCGAAAAGCAGCATTTTGTAAACATACCTGATATAGTCATAGCGGTCATGCCAGTTCTCTCCCTTTGGCACAGGAAATGCCATTTCTCGTGGCATGGGGGAAATGCCATGAAATGCTAGCTTAGCTTGGCGGGCCTCAGAGAAGGTCACCCCTAAAAGCACAAAAGGAGACAGATAAGGACACAAAGCACTCCTAGAACATCTGAAGATGTTTACAGAGGTGGCTGGAACCATGCACTCTTAGCAGGCCATGGGCAAACAAATACTTTAAGATTAGAGTTTTCTGTAAATCTGAAAAAGAAAGGCTACGACATGAAAAAAGAACAAAGATTATTGTAGCAAGTGCATAAGCCTTTCCGTGGGAATATCCTTGAAACTCTCAGCTTCCAATAAGACCTGGTAGTTTAGAGCTTTGTTATGAAAGATTATCTTTTTCTTCCTTAAAATGTAGCTTAAACGCTCTACAAGAGGATTTGGAATTTAATACTGATGATCATATCAGGTTGCTAAGTGGATCAGTTGGTGATTCTTTTTGCAGTTCTATGTGATTAGTGTTAGAATATTTTTCTGTTTTCTTCTTTCATTTGATGCATGTGCAACTTTATGGAACTAATGTGCTCTTCACGTGCAACAGCACATTTGGGACCTGTTTAGTGGTCCACCATGATGTTTGTAAGATTCTCTTCTTGTGATGGGTTGTAGTTGGGCAGATTTCAAACAAAGGATAATGTGTTAGTAACAAAGGTCTTGACTGAAGTTTCTCTGCTGCACTGAGTAGCTGGATAAAGAAACACTGGAGGAAATCTGGATTTCAGAGTGACAAGAAAAAGAAGCTTTTTGGGAAGGATGGTCTAGTGACAGGACTGAGAGACAGGAAAGCTGGGGTCCATTCTCTCATCTGCCACTGATTTGATGTGTGATGTTGGGCAAGTTACTTAATCTTTCTCGGCCCCTCAATTTTTCCAGCTACAGAATGGGAAAAGTTGTGAGGCCCTTTGACATCCTCAGATTGAAGGCACCAGACAAGGGAAAATTACTGTCATTATTATTAGTGTTATTATTAAAGTAAGGGTTTTGTTGACAGTGCCTTGTTATTACTGGCTGAAAACAGAGTGTCAAACAGCAATAGACATGGCCAAATGGTCCTGGTGGAATTAGGTCTTGAAATGCAGCAGTAAGAATGGATTAGGCCTAGCACATCCTTGCAGCCAGGTTTGATTTAAAAATCATATAAGATGCTGCTCCCAGCACAAAGCTTCAGCTCCTTACCTGGCTCAAACAGTAAGTCACTGGTATAGACATTTTTGACCAACAAGTTGGAGCACAGTTTGATGCTCTTCAGATGGCTGTAGCGTCTATTCAGGTACATGGAGAGGATATAGTGGAGGTCAAGCATCAGGCAGGTCCAGCGCACATTGGCAGGGGCCACACCCACCAAATCTGAGGATCAGAAAAACCACTGTCAAAACCAGCATTAAACGCTGACAAGCTATTTTAAAAAGCAGAAACCCAGCTTTACACATGGGCTGAAATCCTTACAGAAAGGGAAGCATGTGTGTGTGTGTGTGTGTGCACAATTGTGCACATGCATATTTAGAGACAACTGTCACACTAGGAAAATGGATAGCTAGGTTTCTAGTGATCAGTTGAGTCCAGATGTTGATTTGCAGCACAACTGTGGTAGCTGCATGTGAATAGAGACAATTAATTGCACACACATTTTTATGCATGGATCCCATGGCCTTCATTCCTGAAAATTTAGACTCTAGTTACCATTCCTCACATTTTAACATCTTCCAAAACAGGTCAATTTTTTGGTCCAAACTGACCATCCTTTTAGGAACATAATTTCCATCACAAATTAAAAATCCATCTAATCCGGTATCTTGTGTCCAATGCCAGCCAATGCCTGAGACTTTTGAGTTGTGTGTCAAATAATCACAATGCATCCAACTGTTTCTTACTATACAGTTGGGGGAATTTTTCCTGATGCCAGCTGGTGGTTGACTGAGATGTTTATGTATGAGGCTTGATCACCCTAGTAATTTTTATCCTAGCTAGTGCAATTGCTGATGCTACTGTTATTCATATAACGTGCGTAATCCTTTTTTAACTCAGTCTCCTGAGCCAGTGAGTTCCACGGGTTAATTCTACATTGTGTAAAATGAAAAAACCCTGTAAAGTCTAGTGTTAAAAATACGTAATGAAACATGGACTTAATAAACCATCCCTCGTTGTCAGACACCCTAAAATTAACTAATTAAATCCATGACTTCAAAGCTCAGGTCGCATGTGACTATAGCAATACTGGTGTATGATACGTTATTTTCTCTTTACTAAGGTATGTAGGGCTAATTCCCACACTGAGGGACCAGCCAAACTATTATTCAGATGTGCTTTTCTTTACCTTGCTTTGAAGTTCTGGCTGTGCACTCATACACTGACCCTTTGGCTGCTCCACAGATGAAGGGGAACTGAAGCCAAGTGGCTGTGGACTTGAACTCCTTAAAAAGGTTGGAGAAGGAGATGCGGACAACCTGGCTATCCTGAGAACAAAGACACACACAATGTTATCCACTTGGCAGACCACTAGAGAAATGCTGCAGATGCTGCAGGATATAGTTTCTTGGTTGACGCTACTCTGTCCAGCTTGGATACCCACCAAGGCTAAGAGACTACTGCCAGCTTGCCTTCCATATGGTCTACCCCACACCCCTGTGGCCCTAAGCAGGGAAGAGTGAAGTCAGAAGAAAACACACAGTAAAATCGTAGAAGAGTAGGTCTGAGATTTTTACCTCGAGTCCACAGATGTTAGATCATATGTGAATCATGTGAGGTTCAGGGAAATCACCACTGATAATGAGGCAAGCCTTCTAGTAAATAAATTAAGAGCCAAGGGAGAAATGACTGGAGCTCTCAAACTCTAAGAAGTGAGGCACAAAGGTGATCAAGAAAGACAGCAATCCTGTCTTTTAACTTCATTTAACAGCTACTATAGCAGTCTATGGGACTTCAGCATGGGATACTTATGGCAGATGATTATCTTGCTCTAGAACACTCAGGCGATACAGTTCAATTCTCTATGTTCAAACTCTTTTGAAAAGCTACTGTATTTCAATCCCCACTCTTCTACTCAGTTACACCAAGGGCCATGCAACAGACTCTCTCACATACCTCCGTGGTAACATCCAGGTGCACCACAAAATATTTGCCGGGCATGGGCTTAAAGAGCATGTAGAGGTAATGACCAGTGAGCCCCAATGACTGTGTACTGGTTTTGGGAAGCTGGATGTAGTTACTGGCAGGAATGGAGCCACGGATGCGATATACTGTTCCCTTCAACGTCTTGTCCTAAAAAAAGGAGAACATGCATTGATGCAAAGTTCTGCCCTACAGTAAAGTAAGTGAGGAGATTCAGTTGTGGAAGTCTTACTGCTTGTTCACTCGACACATGCAATTACACATTCCATCACTGGCGCCAAGTGAGGTGTATGCCAAGATTAGTCTAATAAAGCTCTGGAGAATGAGGACTAGAAAGTTCTGGTACCATACGGGTTCTCAAACATTTTCTGGGTGGATCACATCTTAACAGAGACATTGTCCCATAACCACCTGTCTTCCCATTTGTGATCACATTACATCCCCTGTGGCAACTACAGCAATTGCCTAAATGGAAAGCTAACATTAGGGATGTAATGTATTTTTAGCTGCCTTTATTGTGATGTAGAAGTGAGAAATGACAGCCAGCACCATTTGGCCAATTGTTCTCTGGGGACTACCAGCAAGTGCTCTCTGGACCTCTTTAGGCACCTCTGTTGCAACAAGCAGGAGGCAGGATGGAAAGATGTCATCGTTTTCTCTTTTGATGACACAGAGCAAGGGAATCTGAAATCTTCCTTTTTTTTTTTTTTTTTTTTTTGACATCACAAAACAAGGAGGACTGGGAAATCCCTCTCTCTTTCTCTCAGCATCACTGAGTGCCTGGCTCTCTCTGCAGTACAGCTGCTCCAATCAGGAAACATTAGGAATACAATGTGTTACCATAAATGTTGTCACATCTCCCTCCTTAGTTGATCTTTTCCACTCCTCCACTTTGAAGTGCTTGAAGACATTCAGATATGGATGCTGCCACACTGCAGAGAATCAGAAGAGAGTGAAGATGCTAGGATATCCATGATCATCAATGTGTCCAGTTATACTGATTCATCAGCACACAGCAGGGAGTTAAAGCAACCCACTGGCACACTTGCCAAACTGTACTGGCCTCTGAGCCTGTTTTATTGGCACATGGAGTATTTGTTCCATGAGGCCAGGACAGAAATTCTTCTGAAATGCAGAAGCTGGTATTTGACAGCACAAAGTGATACCAAGCAGTCCTTTAAGAACACCAGTGTAATGCCCTGGAGGCAGGTAAATCCCAGACCTCCACCCAGGGGTCTTTCCATTAGTGATGCTGCTGGTGTGACTTTTGCCCCTTCCTCCAGTGGAACATGGAGAGCAGACTAGTCAGTTTCACTGTGTTTATAACCAGCTCCCAAGGACTTTCAGGCGCTCATGCCCTGGCACAAGGCTGCGATGGGGGGCAGGAAAGGGGTTATTGTGAGAGGTCCCTGCCCACCAGA